CAATAAGAATACTCTCAGTAGCAAGGATAACTACTGTGAGAGGTAAACTTTATGAGGTAACGGGGTATGATAATCCCTTCGTAATTCTAAGATATGAGACTTGTGGGAGAGGACATATAACATTTCACATTCTTGTGGTCAAGTTCCTGAACTCTGGCAGTCTGGACGTGAGGGTCTATGCCTCAGCCTGTCTAGAGGAGGAAGTTGGCTATTTGGAATGTCTGAAGAAGGCGTATATCAGTCTCGAGCGAACAAAAGAGTGGCTAGAAAAGTTGAAAAGGAAAGTGACACGGCGAGCGAGAGTAAGTCGGTTTGAGAAACTCCCTGGGTTCTCAATTGCTGATGGGTTTGAGGATAGGAGAGATTGAATGTCTTTGATGGAGACTATTGCTGAGGTTGGTAGAGCAAGAGAGAAAAAATCTACTGTGATGATAAAATCTCTGCTTTTGAGTACTTTTGAGCACAGATTTGAGATCCCTCATTATGTCAATCCTGAGATTTATTTTTCAGATGTTGTCTATGATGGTTAACAATGCCCAGTTTAGTTGAACAACTAATGTTTATGATTATGCTGGAAGAAAGAATAGTCAAGATACAAGAGACTCTTCGGATCTCTGCAAAAAACCTCTCTACTTTAGATATGCGTGAGTTCTTGCAACCTTTCTTTGACCAGATGAGAGGTTCTGTCTTAAGAGCCATTACTGACCAGAATGAGATCAACTATTTATTAAAGATGGTGAAAGTGAGAACTGTTGACTCGAAGAGAATATCAGACCACTCTTCTAGAGAAAGAGTTTCTCTTGCAAGAAGAATTAACAGTGGTTCATAAACAATGCAATTTGACTATGAGATCATAGACTTGACACGATACTTTATGATCCGGGGTACCATAAAAGGATATGATATAAATTTAAGTACGGATGATGAAAGAGAACTGATTGAAGATTATATTGGAAGACTGAGAAGGATTGCATTGCCATTGATCACTATCCATTCTATTATTGCCTACACTCTCTATATACAGAATTCTCAAGGGGTAGAGCAAACGAGGGAAGAGAGAAATGAACCAGTATCTCTTGCAAGAAGAGTAAGAGACTGAAGAATAAGAAAAAAGAAGACAAAAGTGACAGAGGTAGAGAAGAGAGTATCAAGGAGAGTCTATGGTCAAAATGGCAGGACGAGGGAGACCAAGTTCTTCCGCAGGGACTAATGAGGAGACTCTGGTAGGTGTTATACAGAAACTGGTCGAAAGAGTTTACACTATAAAAGGAGGATCGGATATTGCAAGAGCAAAGAGGCCAGATGAGAGGATTCCATGTTTTAGAGGGCCTCAAGTGAATGATGTCTTGGATGAGTATGAATGATTTATACTCAGCTATGGTTGGACAAACAAACAACGACTCAAGATCCTCCTATCTTATTGTGACACTGACTCGAGGTTGGTTGTTCAAAAGTTGATGGAAGGGGCCATTACATGGGAATAGATCACACAAAGAATCAAAAGAGAATTTGAGAAAGACTCAGTTCCAACTACTACCAAGGATCTCCTCAATATCAGAAGAGCTGAACATGACACTTTCAATGTTTTTCTCCAGACTTTTATCAAAACGGCAAGAAAAATTCCACATTTGGATGAGGCTCAGAGATGTCATATTTTCCTGACTAATTTTATTGATAATGAAATACAGACTGTCCGTAATCTAGCTCAACACTATCCTCTCAGATGGGATGAAATGGTTGCAATAGTCAGAACTCTACCTACGGATTCTCACAAGAAATGCTCGTGGGATCAGATCAGTACATTGGCCAAAGACTGAGAAACTGAGAATGGTATGAACAGAGAGAACAATTTGAGTACTGAAAACATTATTCAACGGGTTATGGCGAATTACATGCTTGCCAATCATGCTATGGATGAGAAAGGGAAGAAAAAAACAAAAAGTGATGATGATAAGGATGATGATGATGATGATGATGATGAAAATTATGGTAAAAGAGAAAATTCTTCCAGATCTAGAAAAAATGGAGGGAATGGTGGAAAAGGGGACAGAGAGAGAAAGGGCGACCAATAAATAATTTTGTCTGTTATTATTGTGGTGAAGGAGGTTACACTACCACTTATTGTAAGCCATTGGAAGAGGACGTAAAGAGTGGGATAGCAAAGAAGGCTGCAATGGGTCATGTCTGTGACAGTTTATGGAACAAATTGAATCCCAGACATCATGGAGGTATGAAACTTCTTGCCCTTAAGCATAGTGAAAAGATGAAAAAAAAAAAAAAAAAAAAGACTAACGTGAATGTTCACACTTTTATAAGCGAACTGCCTAAGGGATTCATACAAGAACCTGATTATTCATTCGCCATGATTGAGTTGCCTCTAAGGTCCCTCACTTTAGAGGACATGTCTGATGAAATTACTCCAAGCGAGCGTTCGTCAGGGGACAATTCTGCTTCCCAGATTTCCTCTGAGTTAGCAACATTTTCTCCTAGCAAGCCTGCTTGTTCGGCCAACATGATGTCATTTGAAGGTGAATTACCATCAGAACTCGTTATGCAACCGAACACAATGATTAGAGAAATGAGGAATGTTCATGCACATTTAACACCTCAAATAATAGAAGAAAAGAAAAGAAAAAAAACCGAGGAGACTCTAATTGAAATCCTTGATGATCAAGAACCAGAACCTTTGCTCAAGTGAAGTGAGCAAGGGAAAAAAATAAAATTTCTACTCAAGAGTGAACTAGAGGATGAAGCTATAATTACGGATGTAATTACTAAGATGTTGGAAGAAACAGAAGTGACATTGTTTTTTAAGGAGGCAATAATACTAGCACCCAAGCTGAGAGAGGAATTGAAGAAACTAATTGAGAAGAAAAAAATGAAAGGTAATTACTTGAGAAGAAAAAAATGGAAGGTAACATTGTTTCCTAGTCAGGTTAACAGGACCTTGTCTGGATATAAGATGAGATTCAACAAAAAAAACTTCGTGTTGATTTTCGGGTCTAGCCGACGTCAAAGTCGAACAACAACGGTAGTTCTTCTAAGTCGTTTCTGAATCATGAAGTTGGCATAGACACTCTCTGAGCCAAAGCCGGGTAATGGCCTCGGTATCTCAATTTTCAAAATTTTATTCTTAGGCCAATTGGATCCTAGTCTTATTTTCAGAAAATTTTCTAACGAGTTTTCTGAATGTACTCGTTATGGGACGCTGGGCCCGGTTCCAAGTCCGTGTCACTTTGTGAGGATATGGTTGTATTTACGGGATGCTGGACCCGGTTTCCAGCAGGTGTTGCTCCCCACCAATAGATAGAGTTTTGTTTAAAAAAAAAAAAAAAAAAAAAAAAGTCGAACAACAACGTTTATAGAAACGTTGACCTAAAAACAAATGTTTTTAACTTGCATTATCATTTATCTAACGTTGTTGTCACTATACAACAATCACTTTTTAAATATTGATAATGTTAGAAAAATAAAGTTCAATGTTGCTGAAACATTGATAATATACATAATTGTACCAATAAATTTAAGGATTTTTTTTGCGAAAATGATTTGACGTTTCTCACTTCAACATGCTTGCATTAACTGCAAGATTGTGCATATCATTCAATACATGTCTCGACATGCGTGTAAGTGAAAAACATAGACTACTAATAACATGTCGAAGAGGTGGTCGCACTCTCAACTTGTTCAACCATGTTCTGCTATAGTGTGTCAACCTCCTATTCGACAGGTTGTCCCTTATCGCATAAGAGAGAGAGTGAACACACATATGGTTTTTAGAGAGAAACTTGACATTAAGTTTTGATTATCAATAATATAAGTTCGCATTGCTCACCTCTTCGGATGTGAAAATACAATAGTTAAGAAATGAGTGTGGGAGAGGTGAAACCCACATAATAGTTCATTATACAGTCCAGATAAGTCATGAATGTTTGTCAGGAGAGCATGACCGGCGACCGCATGTTTAGCGTGTGGTCTCTACTCTTATGAAGAGAGAGAGTGTGTGTGTGTGTGTGTGTGTGTGTGTGTGTGTGTGTGTGTGTG